TTTTTTTTTTGAACCCAGGGGTGCTTAAGCCATTAAACCACATCCCCAAGCCTTTTTAATTTATTTTTTATTTTGAATCAAGATCTCACAAACTTGCTTAGGGCCTTGCTAAGTTTTTGAGGCTAGCTTTGAACTTGTCCTGCCTCAGCCTCCTGAGCCATTGAGATTATAAGCTTGTGCCACCTTGCCCCACTGAAAATTCTTGTTATTTGTGGTGCTGGGCAATGAACCCAGGTCAGGGTTTTGTGCATACTAGGCAACTGCTGTTCTACCGAGCTACATCCCGAATCCTTTTACCTTTATTTATTTATTTATTTATTTTTTTTTAGAGAGAATTTTTAATATTTATTTTTCAGTTCTCGGCGGACACAACATCTCCGTTGGTATGTGGTGCTGAGGATCGAACCCGGGCCGCACGCATGCCAGGCGAGCGCGCTACCGCTTGAGCCACATCCCCAGCCCTATTTATTTATTTTTTTAAATTTATTTTTTTAGGTGTAGATGGACATAACCCAATGCCTTTATTTTTTTATGTGTTATGCTGAGGATGGAACCCAGGGCCGTGCCCGTGCTAGGAGAGTGCTCTACTGCTGAGCCACAATCCCAGCTCACTCTTTTACCTTTAATTTTAACTTGTAAAAAACGTATGAATATTTTAGTCTTGTATGAAAATTTATTCAATAATGTTTTCTTCTGTTTTGTCCTTTATTGTATTGCCTTTTATCTCATTCGTCCTTTGTTGGAAAAAAGGCAAATTTAAATTTATGGTCATTGTTTTTTATTCCACTGCTTTTGTCTTAAAACAAGGCTTTTGGTGTATTCCACTACAGCTGCAGTTAAAAGTTGGCACAGAGCTTTTTGTACAACTCTTCTCCCTTATCAAATGTTGTTAATTTTTGAACATTTGGTATAATTTATTTTCAAGTTGAATTCTTTTTTCTGTTGGACATAATTGTTTGAATAACTGCCAATCATTCTTTAAAATTCTCACAGTATAACTTCTTTAACTTTTAGGTGTTAGTAGATTTCTTTTTTTTTTTTTTTTTTAAATGCTGTTTAATAGAACATTCTTTTTTCTTTTCTTTTTTTTTTTTTTTTTTTTTTTTTAAAGAGAGAGTGAGAGAGGAGAGAGAGAATTTTTAATATTTATTTTTTAGTTCTCGGCGGACACAACATCTTTGTTGGTATGTGGTGCTGAGGATCGAACCCAGGCCGCACGCATGCCAGGCAAGCGCGCTACCGCTTGAGCCACATCCCCAGCCCGTTAGTAGATTTCTAACATCTTTTCACCATGCAGTGGTTGGCACCACAGGAACTGTGGTGGAGACTGTAAGACTTATACTGTTTCTTAGTATTTTTGTTTTTTTATTCATCCTTTTTTCACTTTTTTAGTACCTCTAAATTGATTCTTAGCTTTGGAGGCAATGAAGGTATGATGGGAAAAGGTAGTTTCTTCTGTTTTGCATATTATAAAATTCTGCCCTCACCTTTTCTTGATGTTATTGAGGGAACATCTGAATTTCTTTGCTTCTTGGAATTTTTCCTCTATTAGTTCATGGTTTAGGACATAGAGAACACCCCTGAGCTCATTTTGATACTATGGAGCAAGCTGGAATTTTTATTATGTTACTGTTGATCAAGGCAGTAGTTTCTCTCCTTTAAAAGGAACTATCTTTTCAAATACCTTCTGATAATGATTACAATGAAGTGTGAATGATTTGGTATAGAACCTCCTTGGAATTCCTGCATTATTTATCTAAAAGCATGATAGTGTGAGATTATAGTCAGAAATCAGAGTGCCTTTCATCATATTCATAATATAAAAGTTTAGATAATAAAGAAAAACTTAAAATATCATAGGTAACTTCTGTAGATTTTATTCAGTAATCTGAGATAATGAAATAATAGATGCATTCCATTTTTAGAAAACCCCAACTGACAAAAAGTATTTGTTAAATACTTAAAATTTTCCCTAATAGGAGTACTTCCTTATCAGAACAACAAACTCTTCAATTCTGTACATGTGCGTGCACACACACTTTTTTAAAATAAAGGAATATGCATATTCTCTAGGCTGCATTTGTTCTAGGATAAAATAATCTGTTTTCTGCCTCTCCTTTACCACCGGCCCCAGGCTCTTGAGCTGCTAGGATTACAGGTATGTGCCACCTTGCCCAGCAATAATAATTCTTAATTCTTGTGGTTTTTTTGAGGGGGTGTAGGGGAAATCTTGTGTGTATGTGGTCCTGGGGATCAAACCTAGGGAGCTCATTGTACCCCTGAGCTATATTCCCAGCCCTTTTAAAGAATTTTTTTATACTGAGACAGGGTCTTGTTAAGTT